CAGTAGTGCAATTGCTGGATCATACGGTAGCTCGCCTAAATAGTTTTTTTTTAAAGGACATTAAGAGGTACTGAGTTTCTGCCTATGTCAAGACAAGTTTTATCTTCTTTAAGATCTCCATATATTCATTATTTAGAATCCATCATTGAGCCTCAAACAATAATTATATAGTCTGTTGACAAGTATACCAAAATGAAGGCAGAAAGTAACACAGCTGTTAAAAAAAATGCTTAAAATATAACCTCAAACCTACCTGTCTTTAACCCAAAATGATCATTACATGATGAAACTAAGTTTACCCTTAATTTAAAAAAAATGTCATTTTTAAGGAGAATTCCAAGAGCATTTAATTTTTTCAGAGTAATATTTTTTAACCATGAGCAAGTTATTTTTGCATACAATGATGGCTTGAAGAGAATATAGTTCAGGGGGAAATTTTCTAATTTTGTATGTGGAGGCACCAGAATGCAGAAATTCTGAAAATGCAAACATATTGTTTACAGTTGTATCTAATGTTATGAAACACTTGTGCTACTGGATACTTGGCTGTGAAGTTAATTCCTGTAGTATTATATTTTCTCATTGATATTTCTGAAATTGGGTAGATGGACCCACTGAGAGTAAGGTATGGAGAAATGGCAACATCATATACTACAAAAAGGCCTTTAGAAATATAGAAAACCTTCTAAGAAAAACCAATCATTTTTAATAAAATAATAGTAAGACATAAATCTGTAATTGTTCTACACTATAATCATTACTGTACTATAATTGAAAATACTCCTTTGTTTCCTTTGGGATGGAATAATGAAAAAAAAAAAAAAAAACAACAACTGTGCATTGACCCTGTAACCATAGGATATAATTTGTTATATATAACAAACTAATAATTACTTTCAAAACCTACTCCATATAATCAGAATAAAAACCAAATGGTCGTGTACTAAATTTCCCCATGGCTTTTAGTTATTGACTGTAAACACTTAATTATATGTTAGAATCATTAGAAATATAGACAAGGAGGGATTATGGAGGTCATTTAGTATAGCTTTCCACTTACTGTAGGATTTACTACTCCCAGAAGCAGATAACTCCTTCTGGAATATGGCAGCCAATCTTCCCATTGGCAAAGTTTTTACACCTAGTAGAAGCCTCCCTTATTATGGCTCGGTTCATTTAAAGTTTGTTTTGAATCCTGAACCAACAGAGTAAATTGAGTATTGTTTCTATCCGACAGTCTTAAAGATCTGAAGATTGATAATCATGACTCTGATAAATCTTATTTCCAAGTTTTAAAATGTCAGGTATTTGCTAGAGTTAGATTTATTCTGATTTTGGTGCTCCAAAACCTGGGTTTCCTGACTTTGGACATCATATTTAATTAAAGCAATCTAAACTTGTATGAGTTACTCAGCAGCTGAATCATGTTTTAATTAAATTCCAGCCTGTATTCTATATGTATCACTACAGAATATTCAGAAATGAATAAAACAGAATCTTGATTTTTAGGGAACTTACAGTATAGTAGTGAAGGTGACAAACACACACATAATTGTGAGGCAAGGTGAGTGCTACATGAAAAATACAAGTATGCAAAATGATTACCTGCACTGAACATATAGTAATCAAGGCAGTTTCTTTTTAAATGTTACAAAAATAAATTTCCCTCAGCCAGGATCCTCACATTTAAATGTATCTAATGCTACAGGCTGCATATAACACTTACCCTTGTCCACAGGATAAGGTATAATGGAAAAATGTTGGAAACAACTTAATGTCAGCAGGTACTGGCTTAAATAAATTATAGTACATGCATGTGACAGAGTTATTGTACATGTTTCAAATATTTTCAGTGCCACTGGAAAATGTTTACATTATAGTACTGAGTAAACAACACAAATGGTGGTTATGTTTTGGCAGAGAAAGCACAGATAATTTCTACTATGGACTAAATATTTCTGTATTCTTTCTATTTTCCAACTTTCTACAACAAAACATTTTCTGAAAAAGGCTGCGTTTTCAGGCAGCGAAAACTTTCAGAATTTTTCTGTTCAAATTGCTGTTTTTAGGTCAGTCATACCTATGTATCTTTAGAACTAGGGAAATATGTCATCCAAATACATTAAAATAACTGAATATATATATCAGTAATAACCACTATCTGCTCTAAATGTTTGTAGAAAATTTAAAAAATTTTTCTCTACTGAACCTTCTTACTCATAAGGTTACCTATGTTAGTTTCCAAAAGTTAAATTTTTCCATTGTGGGAAAAATTGGAAGAGCATCTGCCCACTCACTTGATAGTTCTAGGGTATACATCTTCTTGTATAATAAGGTTATATAATTTTAGTAGTTCCGGAGAAATCAAACTACTCTCAAACAATAAAATTCTTTATTGCCATCTTCTCTTCCATTTGTTTAAAAACTCACATTTCGAAAAGAAAATATATGCGCATTCAAGCCCGTTTAAAGAATATAAAAAGGCATACGATGAAAGGAAACATTTCAACCACTGTCTCCGGTTTCACAGGGGTAACTAGTTGTCTTTATCCCCAGCTCTTACATTTTAAATTAACTTTGTGGGTGCTGGTTCTTTTTCTTTTATTTTGGCTATATTCTTAACTGCATCTTTTATTTTTCCAATTAATTATTTAAATATTCTTGCCTTTAAAAGTTCTTTGGGGTTACAGATTTCTACTTATTACAATGTGAGATATTCTACTATTTGAACATTTAAAGGAATTTTCTAAAAGAGATTCAAGCTATGAAGAATCGGTTATCTACTTTATCTTATCATTTTCATTGTTATGAAAATACTAATTAAAAATACCTACCAATTACAAAGCACTTTGCATGTCCCAGGCACTATGCTAAGTGCTTTGCATTCATTATCTTACTTAAAATACTTAGAATAGTACATGCAATCCAGGCTTATT